TGGCATGTGGTGCTGGGGGATTGAACCGCGGTCCCTGATGCCTTGCCAAGCTTGTTCTAAGTAGGTGCTTTAGACCACTGAGCCATCTCTCCAGCCCCAGATTTTTGACTTTGTATCCAGACAATAAAAGTCTTCTTGGTAGGCTGAGTCAGGAGGATCATTGTGAGTTAGAGACTAGCCTGTACTACAAAGTAAGTTCAAGGCCAGCCTGAACTGCATAGCAAGACAAAGAAAGCAAACCAAACCAAAACAAAACAAAACAAAACAAGCCTCTTACCAGTTTCATTCTGGAGGGAGCCAAGAAAAGGAGTGATTATGTGAGATTTTTTATTAATTGTATCCTGGGGAGAACAATATGAACACTTGATCCATGGATTTTGATCAAAGATCTTACTGACTTGTTAGCAAAATAAGATTAAATTAGAAATCAGAGTCTCTCGGGGATGGGAAGCTTCTCAGAGGAAATGGGGAGAGGGAGGTTTATGTTGGCCCTGGATTAAGTCCATGGTAGGTTGCTCCAAGGCAGAAGTGGCCTGGCAGGTGGCGGGGGGCGTGGCCAAGGAAAGCTGTCACCTGGGACAGACAGGAAGCAAAACATAAAAGAGGAGCTTGGGGCAAGATTGAGACCCACTTCCTGTCAGCACACTGGGCTGCAGAACTTGTCCAGGGATGGAGCCACGGGTGAGTATAGCACCCCCATGACCGCGTTTCCTTCCAAACAGGTGAGACATCAGGGAGCAGTTTACTTTTTTTTTTTTTTTTGTCTTTTTGAGACAGGGTCTCACTACGCTGCTCTTGAGCTCACTTTGTATATCAGGTGGGTCTCGAACTCGATCCTCCTCCCTCAGCCTCCCAAGTGCTGGGATTACAGACATGGGTCACCACTCCAGGCTAAGCATTTTAGATCTAAACCACAGCACTGGCATAATGATCAACTTCAGATCACACCCAAAGCAAGACAGATGCACCTCCACTTCTCCAAGATGTACCAGAGAAGGACCAGGGTGTTCTCTATTTTTCCACCCCTTGGAGGTATAACATATACACAGAAATTCTGTGAAACAAAAGTGGATACTGGGATGGATTCTTTTTCAAATGCATACAGCAGGGTAACCCTTCTCCAGGTCCAAGAGGGGCCATCCTTAAGATTGGCACTCTTCCCCAGGTGGGACATGTGGCCGATCAACTTTGGCAAAGTATGAGACACAAGGTCTCCAGTGCCCTGCTGTCCTCAGTCACAAATGAGCAAGTGACCGGTGCACTCTAGCAGTGTGCCTCAGGAACCTGCCACTTTGAGTCCACTATAGATGGCTTGTGAGTTTCAGAGTTGATCTTTGGGAACAGATTTTGTGTCTCTTATTAATGTCCTTCATTGGCATGGGAGGTATCTCCTTTCTTTCTGCTCAACCTGACTTTCTTTATTCTTAATGGTCTCTTTTATTATTTAGGGTAAAAAGGCTAATTACATTGCAGCTTAGAATGGCAACCGCTGGAGAAGACAGCCGCCCTGTTAATACAGTGCCACAGCCACTGATGCAGCCACAGGAGCTGGCGCCTCGGGTGGCCCGAAGACGCCTGTCCCAGGCCCGCCACCGGGCCACCTTGGCAGGGCTCTTCGACAACCTGAAGAAGATGGTTTACTCCGAGTCTGATTTCACAGCCTCCAAGGTAGAGGGGCCTAGGTGTGGGGAGGAGGTGGACTGAGATGAGACCTGGCCTGGCACTTCTGTCCCTGCTGCCCACCCTAGAGGGATGCTGCATAGCACCAGGGGAGCTGCTGCTGCTGCTGCAAGCTCTAGGTCATATCTCCCTGCACAGACCAACCTGATGCAGAAGGAAAATGATGCGCTCGAGAGCACACCTGGTTAGCCAGCAACCACCACCCCAACCCACCCAAGGGCAGCACAGGCTTTCTGCAGCGGCCCCAGGACCCTGCACCTCTACCTAAGCCCACATTCACCCATGCATGTTTTGGGGCAGGTACCGTACCATGCGCATGTGCACACGCCACAGAAATACGCATGTGCCACAAACATACACTTGGGTACACGGTGTGCATGTACACCCCCAGGGTTTGAGGGAGTCTTTCCTCTAAACAACGGATCTCTCTGGGTGTGCACTCATCTTTTCCTGCTCTTAGTTCTGCTTCCTGTTATGTACCTTTTCAATTGACAATTAGTGAGTAAATTAATTACATGGCGGAGCACGCAAGAAGGTCCAGGTAGACGAGGGCGGTGGCAGAAGGAATGGAGTCAGTGTTAGCAGTGGAAGCGTAAAGGGCCAGAAGGGAAAGGTCTCCAGAGAGCTATCATTCCCCACACTCTTAACAGGAAGGAACCAGAGTTGAGGAAGTACTTGCCAGCTGCTTAGAGCAGTGTCAGGAAGAGGACGTGTACCTGCTCCAGGCATGGCCACCTCTCAGGGTATCCCTGTTGTCCTGGGCCTGTTTGCAGCCAGCAGTGTTTCCTCTCTGAGTGGTCTATCCGCAGAGCAGTGCCCTCCAGCTTTGCGCAGCTTGCTCACTGGCCTTGCAGCGGCTTCTCCAGGCAAGCTCCTGAGCAGGCCCCAGGCCAGGGCTCTGTGGAAGTCAGAACCCTTGTACAGGGCTCCCAGTGGGACCCCCATTGTTTATAGCTAAGGAAAAACCCCCCAGAGACCCCACGTGCTCTTGCAGAGTGGTGCAGGGGCCAGTGCGGGGCAGAGGGAAGGCTATTCTTTTGCTCTGCTGGGCTGGCCACACTGAGGCTCAGGACCCAGCCCCTCCTAAGATCTTGTCCAGCCCCATTGTGCTCCAAGACCTTTGGAGGAAGAGATGTTTGCTGTGTGCTTTCTGGGGGTGCATAGAAACCAAAGTCCTGGCCTAGCCAGCAGATAAGTAGTCACAAAGGAGCAGGTATTGGGGGCCTCACAGTAAGTGGCATAGGTAATGCCTGAGGAGAGCCACATGTGCACCTAAGCAGATGCTCATGACGTTGCGGGTGATGGGACCCAAGTGTTAACCAGCCTTGGTGAATGGGGGCTAGTTCCTTCTGTCTTGTGCTGCAGAAAGGTAACCATGGCTCCTCACTAGCCTGTGGTAAGACTCCACGAGATCCTCAAGCGAGAAGGCTTAGCTTTGTCTAGAGCCGCACAGCCGTAGGATCACTGTTTCCAGTATCTTACCTCCTTTGTTCCCCACAGCTCTGTCCATATCATTTTAACCTTGCAGATTAGGAAACTGCAGCTCCTGAAAGCTCCGTTACTTGCCTGGAATGGCAGGGCCTAGAACCCAGCTATCCTCAGGAGTCTGCTTTCCTTTCATATTCTTCTTGAGGGACAGCCCAGGATTTTCTTATAGCAAGGAGGCTCTGCAGAGAGCAAGGTCTTCTGAGTTCTCCAAGGCTGCTGGTAACAGAAGTGGATGATTGAGAGCACAGCCCTGCACTGACCGGTGGTTCTGGAGGTTGGAAGTCTAAGATCAGCGTATCACAGGGCCCTGCTCCCTCTGATGGCCCCAGGGCACAACCACTTCTGCTTCTGCTGATGTGTGGCACTGGGCAGCAGTCCTCCTTTCCTGATGGATTGCCCCAGCCACATGGCCACACTCACCCTGGTTACCTTCAGCTGTCCTCCCTGTGTGAGTCTGCACCCACCCCTCGCCTTTTCATAAGGACGCCAATCATACCGAACTGGGGCCCGACCTAAGGACCTCATTTTAACTTGATTCGATAAACACTATTTCCAAATCAGGTCGCAGTCACACATTCTAGGGGTAGGACTTTAACAGACCCTTTTGGGGGGACAAAAGTCAACTCAGAACCAAAGTCCTTAGAAGTTTGCCTGCTGAAAACAATCTGGAGGAAGAATTTCAATGCAAGGTCTGGCTTCCCTGGGTTTGCCAGGCTCAGAGTACGAGCTGGGCCAGAAACGTCCTGCTGAGCCAGCGTGGGACCTTCCCCTGGACCAGTATTCCCTTGCTAATCCTCTCCCGTTACAGGGGAAGTGTCACATATACATTCGAGGACACACACACTTAAACCGTAGTGGCTAGAGAATCATCTTCTCCCTATAAGAACAGGGCCAGGACTCTGGAAGCCCATGGCCCTCATTCGGAGTCCTTGCCACCCTGACAGCTCAACTGCGAGTCCCAGGATAACAGCAGCAGGGCCTACAGGAGCAAGGGGTGGGCCTAGGGCTCCCAGGAGCTAGCTAAGTGGCATAAGTGCCTGTCTGGCAAGCTCAAGGTCCTGAGTTTGGTCTCTGGTTCCCTCCAAAAAAGAAGGGATGCTCAGCAATCTTGCAGTTGGCTGTATTCTCACAAAACTCTTGTCTCCTCATCTTTGGCTTAGTAGACCACTGCGCTTCCCCTTAAGGGCCTTTTTTCAAAATTTTAGACAAGTTTTGTTAGTACACTTGTGCAGTACATAGTGATTCCATTCATTGAGGGTAGTTGGGACATGTACCTAAACTCTTGCTTCTTTTGGCATCCCCTCCCCACCCTCTCCCACCTGCCCTCCATCTCTCGGTCTCCTTCCCATAGGAAACAGGGAGATAGAGCTTTTACAAATGAGAAAGGGGCCAAGGCTCTTTTTCATACACTGTCAGGACCCCTGAGAATCTAGAATGGCGACCACTGGGCTCTCGCTTCCAGCTGCCTTGGTGCCCTCCAGCTGCCACCCTGCCACTCCCCGATAGCGCCCTGAGAGAGGCCTGCCTGCCTGCCTGGCCTGTGCATTTCCAAGCTGGGCTCGCTCCATTTAGCTGCCCTGTACCACAGTCCTGATCCCTCCTCTCAGCATGGTCCTTCTCCAGGTTGCCTGGTGAGCCTTGTCTTCATTCTGCCTGGTGCGAATCACAGGCATCTCCCACGCGTGCTTGCCTTTGGGATGCCAGTGTCCTCAAGCCAGGACTGGTGTTGACTGTGCATCCCCAGGGCTCAGCATGCAACTTTGCCCGAGTAGTGTCCCCGACCCCTGACGCACACAGGTGTCCGCCCAACAAACACCTAGTGTTTCTTGGTTTTCAATAATTTTGCAGTCACTCCCTTGACCTTAAGGAAAGAGGAAAGGAAATGAAGGGAGGAAGAGAGAAATGGAGGAAGGAAAGACACTAGAGGAGAAGGCAGTAAATCAGAGTCAAGTTCCCAGAACACTTGAGGTTTTAGATCATCTGGAGGGCATGCATTTAGCAACTACATACCGTGAGCCTGCGCATGGAACACGACACAGCCAGCTGCACATGGCCACAACCGAGCAGAAGCCTAGCCTGTGTCTCTTGCACAACCCTGGAGGCACAGGCATTCAGCTGTGGCGCCGACACCAGCCAACTCCATCTTCCAGGAGGCAACGTAGTCACTTGCCTTCGCGCAGTGCTGGAGAGCTGCTGAAAGCGGCTTGTTTTCAGATACTTTGGTATTTCCGTGAAAATCCATTCCTAGGACAGGAAGGTGACTTCACCCCCTTCTGAGCTTTAGGAAATCTTCTCCTCTGTCAAGGGTGTGGCTTTGCACCTTAGGAAATGTGGCCTCAGCCTGAGCAGGTGCTGGGTCCGCAGAAGCCGTCTCTGCGGTGCAAGGCTGCCTGCCCTAGCAGCGTTGTCCCTCTCTGTCCCCAGTGGCAGGTTCTGAACAAAGCAAAGAATCATATTCAGGAACTGGAAGAAAACCTAGATGGTCTGCTGAAGCTGAAAGGTAATCAATCCCTTGCTGGCGAAAGCTGGTTCTGCGGAGACTGGGTTACAATGGAGCCCACAGATGTTTGTGGGCCTACTGCGCACCAGGCAGTGTGATTGGGCTCTGATTGAGATCAGTGCCCCCAACCCTGGGGAGCTCACCAGGCTGGGCAAGCTTGGGAGTACCCCGTGGGCACCTGACCTCACCTTAAGAGGCCAGAGGAAAAAAAGTGAGTTGGTGCATCTCTGAGCTGCCCCTTCACACCCAGAAGGAGAGATGCCAGATGCATTCTGCACTCCCTAAACCTGAACCTGGGAGATGGGGTGGGGCTCGGGGCTCCCCCATGGGCCACAATGATGCAGCAAGGAGCCGACTTAGCTTTTGTGACTCTTGTCTTCTACTCTGATAGAATCTTTCAACCTGGAGGATGGGAACCCCAGCACCTTAGAGAAGGTGAAGGAACAATATGCTGAAATGTTCTCCAGAAATGAGAGGTAAGACCCCAAGAGGTCCTGGAGAATACACCGGGCTGTGTCCTGCCCCGCTCTCTCCCAGCCTTCATGGGGCAAAGCAGCCGCTCCCCGTCCTGCTGCTGTCTGGTCCTGGAATAACTCTGCCCCACTGGCCCTAGTAACACCCACTGGACATCTTCCCATTATAACAGTGACTTGTGCTTGTTATGGGAGATGGGAAATACAGAAGAGCCTGCAAATACGTACTATCTTCCCTCTCAAAAACAGTCAGTGTTAATTTTAAGGAACATCCATCCATCTAGTGTTTAAATTTTTGCACATTCCAGTTTTAAGGATTTAGATGAGTATTCACCTTGGATTATATAGTGTCATACATTTTGCATTTATACATATATTTCAAATCCTTAGCTAATGGCATTACTGGAGGGTGCATATGAAAGTAAGGGAAATTAAAAAATCTCAGCCTACTTTTCAACCTCATGGGAGCCTAGGAAAAACCTTTAGGCTCCGAAAAAGAAAAGCACGCAAGTGTCACTGATGCTGAAATGGTCATTACTAATAATCCAAACTTAGAGATGGATAGGCATGTCTTTTGCAATGTCAAGTTTTATATTCAGCCCCCATGATGTCAGGGCCTCTTGTGCCTCTTGCGCAGAGATATTCTCTGCTTTGCTCTCAGTACCTGCTCAGCGCCTGCAATCTGCGGAGCTGCTTTGATCAGTACTAGACTTCGGGTCTCGGGTGGCCCTGGCAGCTCCTAGCATGCCCAGCTCGAATGGTGTGGTGTGCACAGGCTGGCCTCTGATGACACACAGAGCCCAAGCCACTGTCCTCTTGCCAGAAAAGGCTGGCAAGCTATGGGCCATTCAGAGTCTACTGAAATACAGTCTGGGTGAGGAGATGCAGCATCCTACTTATTTTGTTTTTGTACCGGAGATCAAACTCAGGACCTTTTGCTTGCCAGGCGGGTGCTTGTGTCTCTGAGCTGATCCCTGGCCTTTGTGTCTTGATGTGGCCATCTACGACATTTATTTCCTTCACTGTATTTTTCTCTATGTCCCAAAAATTTTAACAAAGAACATGTATTATATCCTATGGGAAATAAACAGAGCAAAAATAAATTGTCAAAAATAAGTAGGGGGAAGGCCAGCCAAATAGCTCAGCAGATTAAAGCACCTGCAAACAGGCGCAGGGGCTAGAGGTTTGATCCCCAGGGCTACCATGCCAGCCCTGCCCCTGGGGCGCATGAGGTGGCAATTGAGACTGGGCACGGTGGCATGCACCTGTAATCCCAGCTCTTGGGAGGCTGTAAACAGGCAGATCACTATGAGTCTGATCTAGTAGTGAGATCCTGAACACCCTGTAGACCCTTCTCTAAAATACAAAAAAAAAAAAGTGGTGGGGGTAGTGGCCTGCCCAAGGTCCTGGATCCCACTGCCTAGCACATAAACAAAAAATAAAATAAAATAAAATAAGTAGACAATGTGAAAACATGAAAGTGTGTCAAGACTAAAATAACCACCTCTAATCTCACTCCATCCAGATTAGCATTTTATTCCCAGAGGAAAGGAAGCAGGTGTGGTGTGTGTATGGGCTGAATGTACACAGCTGTTAAAAGGCTGTTTTTGCTTTCATTTATGTATTTGGTATAGGGTCTCACTCTGCAACTCAGACTCGTAGTGATCCTCCTGTTTTCAGCCTCCCCACCTCTGAATTACAGGCACGTGGGATTACAGGCACGCACCACCATGCCTGGTCTTGGTGGCTGGCTCAGTGCGACGGGGGCAGGGCCGGTACAGTATGTGGTGCCAGGGATTGAACCCTGGTCCCTGTCCTTGCCTAAGTATGCGCTTAATCCACTGAGATATCTTGCTGGCCCAAAAAGCTGTTTTTAAAACTAGCCCCTACCTCGCCGCTGACCTAGGAGTTGGTCTCAGAAAGGTGGGATTCCACGTTTGCTTCCCCCAAAGGTGTGGCCAGTGGTCTGAACCCCATTTATATGAGCTTTTCTTTCCATATTGATGGAAGATATAATTCTCATCACATAGACAAATAGCTAATTTTGTAAAATCCTAGTATAGTTAGAGATAATTTTTGCTACAGCCATAAAAACTGGTATCAGCATAGAATATGTTCATTATGTTTTGATTAATTATGAGTAAATTTGAGGGCTTTCATTCAAGATCATTTGCTTTTCCTTTCCTGGGAGTCGTCTGCACCTCTTCCTTTGCCCACTTGTGTTAGGTTGGCTGTCTCTGTCTTATTTAATTCTAGAAGTTCTTTATATATACATATAAGTTAACTTTCTGTTATCCAAGTTGTAAATTTTTCCTTTCAGTTATTGTTTTATTGTGTCTTTGCTTTGTTTTACATATTTTGTCATGCAAAATAAAGTCTAATATATGAATCTGTCATGACATCTGGATTTGGAGGAGTACTTAGAAAGGATTTCTATACTGTGAGATTTTAAAACACAATCTTCTCAAGCTTTCTCTTTCTTTTTAATGGAATTTGACAACTTGGGGATTATCCCTATCAGTATGAAGAGATCCTGGGTATAAATTTTGACTTTCCATATTGTATAATTTTGCTGTCTTAAAATGTCTTTGAACAGCAAAATTGAAAAATGTTCATGAGACCAACCCATCCCTTTTAGAATATATATATATAGGTTAAGCTTTTAGTTTAAACTTCTCTCATGTTTTTTGTACTACTGTAAATGGTATTTTTTTAAAAAAAAGATCAAGTTCATTTCTAGCATATAAACTTCATTTTTACTGTATACTTGACTCATAATAATTCCAGATATCTACGCATACAGTGTGGCACCTCAGTCCACGTATACAATATGTCATTATCGTATCAGAGCAACTAGCATGTCACCTGAGACATTTACCAATTCTTTTTGTGTTGGGAATATTCGAAATCTTCTCTGCTAGCTACTTTGTCAATTAGCGTAGTCCTAGAGAACGTCAGAAGCCACCCTTCCCGCTTGCCTCACCCCTGCACCACTCTCTCTCCACCCCTGCACATCCACACACTGCCCACACTCTGGAAGTTCCTCACCTAATAGAAACGCTGTACTTATTTCCATATAATGGCCTCATATTCTTCAACTTTGCTAAATCCCCTTCTTAGAGATAGTCACATGCTGGCAGATTCTTTGGAATTTTCTGTATAACCACATTGGCTGCAAATAAAGGTATATTTACTCCTTCCTTTCCAACCTGTATACTAAATTTTGATTCTTTTTCTTGCCTTCTTGGACTGGCTAGAACCTCAAGTGTGATCCTGAGAGGAAGTGGCAAGAATGGACACCCTCTCTTTAGTCCTAATTTTAGGGAGAAAACACTCAGTATTTTGCCATTAAGTATGGCATCAGCTGTAGGCTCTTTGTAGGTAGCCTCGATCAGGTGGAGAAAGTTGCCTTCTATTCCTTCTTATCTAAAATTGATGTTGATTTTATCAGTTGTCACTCTGCATCTATTGAAACAATCACATGATTTTTCTTCTTCAGTCTGTTGAGGTGGCGAATTGCACTGATTGGTATTCAAACACTGAACCCACCACTTTGCCTATGATCAGGGCCATTAGGTCCTGACGTACTTATGTGGGTGGTTGAATTATAGATACTGTTGCTAAAATTGAGAATCTCTGCGTTCACCAGGGGTACTTGTCAACTGTACTGTCTCCTTCCTGTTTTCTCCTCCAGTTTGATCTTAGATAGTTTTCTTCAGAATGGCTCCTTCCCCTGGTTCCCAACGGAAGCAGTCGAGAAGGGCTTAGAGGAAGAAGGAGGTGAAGAAGAAGGTGAAGAAGAAGAAGAGGAAGAGGAAGAGGAGAATCAAGAAGAGGAGGAGGCAAAGGAAGAGGAGGAAGAGGAGAAAAAAGTGGATCTCTTACATTGCCCAGCCACTTCTCTGCCAGACCTCCAGGAATTTGAGCGGTGGGAACAGCTGGGTGGGGTGGTTCTGTGCACCCCGGAGCTCCTGAGGGGGCTGGACATGGGCTGTAGCTGTGAATGCTGTGGCCTCCATGTGAGATCAGACCAGGCCCCGAGTCCTGGATGCTCTGGAGCTTCTACGGGGTGGGGTCGGCTATGGGTCTAGACACAGAGACCGTATATAGAGCAACAACATTGCTTTTATTATGATTGGGTGCTTATTGGAGGGATGGGGTGCTGGTTGTGTTACAAGGACTGAGCCCCATCTACCACCCCACTCAAGCTCCAAAACTCTGCTGTCTTGCATCACATGTGATCTTGTCGGATGCGATGCGCATGCCTGTACTCCCAGCATCTGGGGAGTCACGAGGGTTGAAAGCTCAAGCCCAGCCTGGACAGCTTAGCAAGACCATATCTCACAATAAAAATATTTTTAAAGCAGCCAGGGATGTAGCTTAATGCAAAGGTCCTGGGTTTAATCCCTAGGACAAGAAGGGTCGGGGGAACAGAAGGAAGAAAATAGTAGGGAGGGAAGGAGGAAGGTGAATAGCTTCCTTTGCCACTGACTCCTCCGCAGACCCAAGACCCTCAGCAGCTGTGTGGCTTAGGGAAGCCTTGGCCCAATAGGAGGAGATCTAGCCCCTGGCTGAGCCTGGCCCCCAGCCCCGCACTGAGGTGGTGTCTCTAACAGGAAGTGCACTTCTGGCTAGCACAGAATTGCAGGGCCTTTTTCTGTAGGAGAACAACTGGGCCAGCCTCGGGAGGGAATCCCAGGCACAGACCTAGCTCCTTTGTGCCCCCAGGGTGGCTTCCGCCCTCTGGGCTCAGGGCCCACAGAATCTGCTTTGAGCCACCCAGGGGCCACATGAGCTGAATCCCAAGAGCCGGTGCCCCTTCTGTTCCAGGTACCTCAGCTTCTACAAGCAGACGATGGACCTCCTGATTGGGAACGGCATCGTCTCCTCACAGGAGGCCTTACAGCCCGTCGTCTCGGCGGCCATCTCCCACCTCTGGCAGACGCTGTCGGAGGACAGGAAGGAGAGTGTCCTGCAGGTCTGGGCCCAGCATCATGCTAACCTCCTGGGCCTTGGTGCCTGCCCTCAGCCAGCCTGCGCTGAGGACAGCGTGAAGGACAGTGGCGTGGACAGCCAAGGAGCCACCTGCTCGCTGGTCTCCACCCCGGAGGAGGTGAGCAGACCCTATGGGGTTACCTAGAGTGTGACAGGAACAGTTATGTCACCCTTGGTCCCAGGAATCCAGACCTTTGCTAAGGTCATTTGGTGAGTTTGAGGGGCCATTTGGAATCGGGTCACACATATGTTCTGATTTCCTCGTCATTGTCCCCATGACCACGGTATAGCACTTTCCCCTCTCCTGTCAGCAACCGAGCCTTTCCGTGGCCCTGTGGGAGGCCATGTGTAGGATGGTCCAGCTGGGACTATTGGCAGCCTGTGTCTTTATTGTTAAACCTCATGTCCAGGGTGGTCAGGGTCAGTCCAGTTACTCAGTGTTGAGGGAGAATGGATTGAGGTTCCTCTCTTCTCTTTACCGTGTTTCATTTTCGGGCTGGTTTCTCATTCTTCCCTGGAGCAAACAAGCCTCCTCTTCACCGGTAGAGAGAGGAAGAGTTCTTGTGAGGGCTCATTCTCAGTCATGAGAAAACTTTCCAGAAACTTCCACCAGACTTTTCCTCTGCTGTGATTGGCCAGGATTAGCCAGATTACTATTTTACTAAGCCAGTGACTGGTAACCTGGAAAGGATTTCCTAAAGGAGGTTCAGGCTGAGTCCTTGAGAGGCAGCAAGTTTCCAGAGAGCATTGTGATAATTCAATAAAGAGGAAGCAACCACGGTGTCTGCCAGCCACACATTTGTCAGCTTTTGAGCAGTGAGAACGGCCTACAGAGTTTCGGGCGTTGTCAGCACTCAGCCTGCATGAGACACAAGCTGCTCTTCTGGAGTTCGCAGAGCCCGGGAAGACCGCTGTTCCCACAAAGGAAGATGGCCGAGCACAGACGCCGCATTGCGTATCCTTGGGGACAGAGTGCACAGAGAGGGAGGCCGTCCACTGCTTTCTGCCCCAGCAGCCTTCAGCACGCGTCCAACAGCTAAGTTGCTTCTGACCCACGAAGTTCTGTGCTTTTTTCCAGGTCCTTTGTGAAGACTCCTTTGATGTGGCAAGTCTCCTGGGCAAAAGTGAAATTCCAAGTACATCTTACCATAGGTGAGGAAGGCAGTGGGACAGTGCAAGTGTGTGTGTGTAGTGGGAGGGTGCGTGTGTGTGTGTGTGTGTGTGCAGTGGGAAGGTGCATGTGTGTGTGTGTGTGTGCAGTGGGAGGGTGCGTGTGTGTGTGTGCAGTGGGAGGGTGCGTGTGTGTGTGTGTGTGCGCAGTGGGAGGGTGCGTGTGCGTGTGTGTGTGCGCGCGCAGTGGGAGGGTGCGTGTGTGTGTGTGTGCAGTGGGAGGGTGCGTGTGTGTGCGTGTGTGTGTGTGCATGCAGTGTGTGTGTGTGTGTGTGTGTGTGTGTGCAGTGGGAGGGTGCGTGTGTGTGTGTGTGTGTGTGTGTGTGTGTACACCCCTGCAGCAGTATTTGTAGCCCATCCTCCACAATCCCTGGGTGGGTGCGTAACCCAATGGAAGTTCTTAGAGATCTGTGTTTTTCTGTGGAACTGAAGTGAGCTGGTCCTAGGCCTGGGCCGTCTCCCAGGGAATGCCACTGTCAGGGACACACTCGGCAGTGGGCTCAAGGTGGTTCCTTTTGGGACTGTTCGCTTTGCCCTGTTTTCCTGATGGTTACTGGTCTTGTTTCTCCCATGCAAGGCTGTGACTGTTAAGTCTGCTGTTGAAAAAATCACCCAGCCAGGTGGCAGATAAGCACCAGACATTGACTGTTCGTAGCTTAAGATCAAGGTGCCAGCAGATCCAGGGCCTGGCGGATGGCACTTCCTCCATGCAACCAGGTCTCTCTGGGCCTCTTTTGTACGGGCGCTAATCACCCTCACCTCTGAAGACCATCACCTGGCGGGGTGGGGGCACAATATTCAGTCTGTAGCAGCCAGGCCCTGGCAGCCCATGGCTGGGCATAGCCTCCAGAAGAGGACAGCGACTCTGGAACACAGAAGACCTGGGCCTGTGGGGGATGAGCCTGTGCCCCGGGTCCTGCGCTTGGAGGCTGAGCCACACTGGGGGGGAGGGGGGCACGCTACCTTTACAGTTCTGATGGGGTGGATGTGGAAGGCAGGCACAGAGGAGGGGTGGCTGACGCACAGGCAAGAACACATAAAACAGGATCGGGGAAGCTTTAAAATAAGAAGCAACCTGAACCCAAGGGTACTTCCTCTGAAGAGCCAACCTAGGATTGGAATTCCCTGACTGCTCCTCAAAAACCTGTGACCATCTGACCTGAAGGGACATACTGATTGTCACATATTGTGCTCGTGTCCAGGCTGGAAAAAAGCCTGAACATTTCTTAGTCTCTGACTTGGGAATAAGAGTGAAAAATCTCATCTTGTCTTCCAAGTGAATCTGTTGTCCTCCATGGGAGCCTGGCTTTTGATCACTCTGGAGATGTGGCCACAGAGATTCAGATAACTTCAGGCAGAGTTCCCGGCAGCACAGACCCCAGCCTTTGTCCTCTGTTCCCTGCCGCACTCAGCCCAGCCAGACCTTGGAGCCTTGGGATCCACAGCAGAGGCTGTGTCCTCCCAGAGCCATCTCATGCTCCTCTTGGCATCTGCAAAGTGGTTTCGCCACAGCTGGCTAACGGCTGCCACCCCAACTTCCGCATCGGGCTCTTCCACGCAGTTTGGATGGAGTTGCCAACATGTGATTGCTAAGCAGTATTTGGAACTCCCTCCCCAGCTGGTGGAGTCAAAACGACACTATTAAAAATTCTTTCGTTCTCCCTTAAAAAGGCAGGGGTGGGTGTTGGGTGGTCGCCAGGCTGGCTCCCAGGAGAAAGTGGATGCAAAAGGTTGGCTCTTCTCTGGGCCCACAGCGCTGTACTTTAAGGCCCCGTCGCACTCCGCTGCATCTCTTGTCCCCGGAACACGGTGAGGACCGAGTGTGCAGCACAGGCCTCCTTTGTGCTCTGGGCCTGAGCACCATGCCGGCCACTGAGCCAGCTTCCCCTGGGATGGAGCTCCAGCTGCGCAGTGTGCTTCCCGAGCCTGCGCAGCAGCTCCGGTGGAACCAGCGCGGTGAGCATCGCTGTCGCCCGAGAGCTCGAAGAGAACTTGCTCCATTGTCCCAAGGCCACAGTGTGGACGCAGAGCAGAGAAGCCAGCCAGGGAAGAGAGCCAGGCTCTCGGCTGTCTTACCCTTTCAGAGGGCTCTGGACAGGATGCCTCTGCGGTGAACAGAGGCAGCGCGGAGCTTGTGGGAGTAGCCCTGCTGCCTAGGAATTCCACTGGGCATTCAGAGGCGCTCTGTGCTCGCTGCAGTTCAAACATTGTGGAGGCAGAGGGGTGGCGGCAAGTACGGTTGAAAGCTTGGGGCTCTAAATCTTTTCTGAGTCTTCTTTTTCTGTTGCCAGTTTAAGGATTGCCTGCTTCAACCCAGAGAACTCAGAGAGAAAGTTGCAGCTCTACCTGCAGATCATCAATTTTTTAAACTATCTCTGCTACGTTAACCCTCAATTACAACAGGTAGGACAGGGAGGGTGTAAGCAAACCTCTGGCCACCCACCTTAGGTGGCAGAAAGGGCTTGTGAGGGCCCCTAGAACCCCTTTCTCTCTCCACCCCACTAGGGGCACTGGGCAGATCTTTCTCCCTTCTGACCAGCCCTGTGAATGGCTGACACCTCCTGTGGAGTGGAAGGCACCAGCGAAGCTGAGGGAAGAGGCAGGGGGCGCTCCTCCGGGGCTGGTTCCTACGGGGAGCCCTTTGAGGCCAAGAGCACACCCCAGGGGCATTTGTAAATGTTGGACAGCATCTTTGCAAAAGGCTGAGCTGTGTCACCATCTTCTGAGACCCTGTGGGAATATTGGGGATCAACTTTTGAAGGATCATTTCTGCTCCTCCAAAGCCAGTGCTGTAGCTCTTGATGGCACAGCTATGGGGGGCCTGGCTACGAGTCCAGCTCTGGGGCTCCTCCGGTGGGGGACTCTCAGCCTGCAGCAGGGATTTCAGATTCACAGCGCGTCACCGATTTTCTCTGATGATGATTTAGTAAAACTAGAACCAGCATTTAAAAGGCGAACTATGAAGTGGCAAATGTTTGTCTAAAACCAGTTAGCGCAATTTTTCAACAGACCCTTAACTAATGACACCTGCAAAGATCCTATCTCCAGGGGATTGTCTCAAGTGGCCAAGAGTTTGGCGGGAGACCCTGTTCAATACACATCAGCAGCCAGCACCAACAGCAAACATCTCTCCCAGCCTGTTGCTTTCAGGAAATCTGCAGCTTAACAAAATGTTTCAGTCACCCTTTTCAGAGTGTAAGGAAACTGAACATTGTGAACAACACTGAAGCTTTTGTGTGACAGAGTCAGGGTTTCCTTTCCTCGGCCTCTTGGACTCCCCTGTGCTCTGAGCACCTCTTCTCAGCCTTTGATGATGTCGTTACCCTGAACTGGAGGCCTGTGTCATTTCCCTGAAAACCACTTGTCTCCTGTCTGATGCTTTTCTTGAGGTGCTGAGCGTGGAACTGGGGCCTCGTGCATGCTGCACAAGTGCTCTTCTGCTGAGCCTTACCTTACCCCTCTTATACTCCTGATCCCCAATCCCACCCCATCAGGAAAGCTCAGGGAGTAGGAAGCGCTTCTGCAGAAGCTTGGTCTGCAGAGGCCACCCCTCCATCTGGAGGTTGCTGTTGATCCTGCTTTCATCCGATGGATGCCTGTACTTAGGGAACTTCCCAGGGAATCACCCATGTCAACAGTCACTTTCTGCTGGGGTGGAGAAAGACAAGAAGAGTAAAAATACCCAGGAACACTCTTTTAGGGAGAGGAGTAGGGAGTCTTGAGAGGGGAGAAAGGTCATTGCTGGACACAGGGTTGTGCTTCTTTAAAAAATCTAACAGCCCCTGTATGTGGTGTCAACTTCAGAAATCAGTAAAGATTATCATGGTCCTGGCCTTGAAGCACTGATCTGCTCAGAGGTACAATGACAGAATAAAATAGAAAAAGTATATACGCTATAATTACAGAGGGAAGCAGGATGGCTAAAGTCCAATGATGGGCTGGGCATGGTAGCACATGCCTGTAATCTCAGCACCTGAGAGGCTGAGGCAGGAGGATCACTGTGCGTTTGAGACAAGCCTGGGTTACAAAGTGAGCTCAAGGCCAGCCTGAACTGCATAGCAAGACCCTGTCTCAAAAAGACAAAAAAAAAAAAAAAAAAAAAAGCCCAGTGACGGTCCAGGACCATGAGGAGGCATGGTGTCTTTGGCTTTTATGAGGAGTACGGCTAGATCGGGGGGTGTGCTGGTGGGCTGCAGGAAGCAGTGGGGGTGAATTGCTGACCTAGACGAGGCTCAAGCATTGTGGAGCATTGCATTTTTTGGAAAATCACACAAGGGATGAGGATTGACTATCACACTAAGCAGGGTCCTCAGCGGCCACATGAGACTGCTGGTCTGAGCACTGGCTGTTGACTTAAGGATCAGTCTGCCCTTAAGCCAACCGGGGCTCTTGCCATAAGTCGTGTGGGCCAAGGACAGACTCTCAACTTATTTTTGTACCAATTTATTAATATTTATTATTGCCTGTCCTATACCACACCCAGCGGGTCCTCAGCAAAAGATATCCCATACAAGCTTAACCTCTTTCTTCCTCTGTTCCTCACTTACTGCCCCACTCACTTTCCCAGAGACAACTACTATGGCCGGTTTCTTGCACATCTATCCCAAGATGGTCTACAGATATTTGTGTGTTCTTTTAAACACAAGTAGTAACCTACTGTACACACTGTTTTGTACTTTATTAATCATCTCTCCCAAAGATAGAAAGATATCTCATTCCTTTTATTAAAAAAAAGAACCCAGCTGCATGCTGTTCACTGGTGGGTGTACCATGGTGTCGCTTGGTCTTCTACTGACAAGCTCTTGGCTAAGATTTTTCCTTGTTTCTCTGATGGGATCCTGGCAGTTTCCAGAGTAGGAAGGAAGCCACTTCCACCAGATCTTTCTGGAGATCAGGGAGCTTTGTGTGGAATAGCAGTGTCACCGCCTGCCTTGTTCCCCGGCTGGAAGCTGCAGGAGAAAGTTGGAGAGCCCAGAGGAGCCATGAGCCCTGAGCTGCTGGGCCTGCCTAGCTGCCTAGAACCTTCCATCCGTACTCCACCTTCTTCCCATGTGTTTTGCAGGCACCAGCCCCTCCCGCTGACGATGAGATGATGCAGCTGAGGTGTCTGGAGACCTTTGAGGATGAGGATTTGTAGTGGAGGAGGGCCAGATGGGGAAGAGGCTGAAGGAAGTACGGGCAAGTTTGAGTTCTGGCAGCAATGGTCATGCCTGCCTCAGCCTCTGGGACTTTTCTGAATGGGCTGTCTCAGATGCATTTTGGTGTATTAGTTTCTGTTATAAAGTTTGAAAGCATGGTGTGGTGTCCGTCTTTATGGCTATTAGGTAGCAGGGGCTCACGGGCACGCAGCCACCAGTACCTATCCTGGGGGCACTGGGTACAGCTGATAACGAGGCTGTGGGCTTTTCAAGAAGGGGGTGAGCATCATATTGCCTGGAGGGGAGAAACACCGGGTCCTCTCAGCCCGCCCCAGATCCAGGGCCTCATTGCTGGGTTCTGCCGGATTCTGGAGCCCACTTACACATCCTGCTAGCACATCCTGGGTCCAGAACTGGTGCTTAGCTTCCCTCTGTGCTGACATAAAGGCAGAGTGTGGCCGGGTGCACCCGTGCCCCTGGTACAGACCCCTGAAAGCATGCTGTGGTAGAGTTCAGGGATGTGTGCGGTTTTCACGAGGCCACTGGGCAAAGTGTATGTGAAGGTCACCAGGCCTGCGCCCTGGGGCTTCGGGTGAGTTCTGTGTCAACCTGCCTGTGCCACGGTCCCAACATCTGGTCCACCATCACACTGATGTTTCTGTGAGAGTATTTTTGTAAGTGAGATTGCTATTTAAGTAAGTAGCCTTGGAGAAAACCACAGAGACAGACCCTCTGTGATGTGTTCAGCAGTCGAAGGCCTCAGTAGAGAAAGACCGACCTCCTCAGTGGAAGAGAGAATCCACCAGCAGAGCTCAGCTCTGAGCTCAACGACAACTTTTCTAGCCTGGTGGTAGACTTGGGGCCCCACAATAGCCTGGGCCCTTCCCTTAGTATAAATGTCCTCTCTGTGGGTACACACACACACACCCTGCTGGTTCTGTCTCTCCATCGAGCCCCGATATACTGCGTGTCCTCAGAGGACAGGCTCACCTAGCTCCTGACCGTGTTAAGTTCCAGGGGCAGCGGCTCCCTCTGGCAAAGCCTTCCCGTTGCTAATGACCAACTTGAGGGGCAAATGGGGTTTTCCATGCAGCTGGGCAGCAGGGCCTTCTGGGATTGCCACAGCTTGTGTTGGAAAGACAGGAAGAGGAGGACACTTAGATGGGCAACCCCGGAGACTCGGGGAGCGAGGAAGAAGCCAGGAGTGCTCGTGATGGGCCCTAGGCAGCTGGGTGCCCCGACCAGACCCTCATTCCTGCTCCTGGCCCAACCTGGTCTTGTTTAGTCCAAGGCCGTGGCTGTGTCCTGCAGCAGTAGGCGCCAGAGGCCTTGGGCAGAGGTGACCTCAGCAGAGAGCTGATGTGTCCCTTCTTCCTGTGGCCAGTGCCGGGTGAGGCTCCCTGTCAGTCCTTAGCACCAGCAGCCCTCGGCCTGCCTCCCCTTCCCACACAAACCTTAGGATTCGGCTGCAGACCAGGATGGACTTAGTGCACAAACCGTCTTCGTGGCACTCGCCTCCCCATCAAGGGCTCCCCCCATCTCTGCTGCGTGTCTGCCTGTTTCCTCTGTGATCTTTCTGTATCAGCCACTGTCGCCTAAGTCAGGGTTCTGCAGAGAGGCAGAGCAGTAGATCAGAGAGATGCAGGTCTCCTCTAAGGAACTGGCGCAGGCGGCTGTGAGGTCTGAAGTCTGAAAGAAATCTGTAGGCCAGGCCAGCAGGCAGGCGCTCGTGCCACTGATGGTTCAGGCAGCATTTCTTCTCTAAATCCCGCTTGCAAGGCTTCTTGGCAGCTCCTGGCTCCTTCCTTTCCGGTTCCAAGAACCAACCCCAATTCTACACTACAGTCTTCAACTAATTGGCTAAGTCCCACCCACACTGCCAAGGGCAAGTCCTTAAAGTCTACTGGCTGTGTGAACTACATCTTTTAAATGTCTTCCCAAACTGGGTATTGTGGTGCACGCCTATAATCCCAGCACCTTGGGAGGCTGAGGCAGGAGGACCCGAAGTTGTAACCCAACCTGGACAGCTTAGCGAGACCCTATTTCAAAATAAAAAAGTGGCTGAGGGATGCGTCTCAGTGTGAAGGTCCCAGGCTCCTCAGGCGAGGACAGGTGGTCTGTGAATGCCAACAATAAAAAAGGGACAAAGGCGGCAAAATCTCATGGTGTGAAGACCAAAGCAAAAGTAAGGGGCAGATGTCTTATAGGAATTAAAGTTCTCCCCCACTCCTTGTGTTGGAGGAACTTTTATTTGTTAGCTTCAGCAGGGCTTTACACTCAGATGTTTTGCAGAACAACAACAATTACATAAAAATAATTAACAAATTTTGGTGAAATGACTGCAAAATGTCATCTAAGAACGAACAGATTGGGTACATGCTAAAATAAACACAAAATCCATGCATGAGGAATGAGAACATGTTTCTAAAGAGCAGAAGTACTTGGGAGACTTTGCCAACCAATGGTGCCAAAAACAAAACAAAAACAAAAGCACAACTTTGCATCTGCTAACCGTTCTGCAAGGAGGATGCCCTCCATGGACTCCAGGGTGCTGTGGGCTGTGGCTCGGACCTAGAGGTGTGGAAGCCACTCATGACCAGAAAAGCATTCCCAGCCGCAGCCAAGTGGCCAGCACATCTGGGAACAAAGTGAGTATGGGAAGGCTTGGGTCTCCGCGTGCATCCACTTCCCAGAGTAGAGAGGACCTCCACCCTCGGTCCTTCAGGGAGAGCTGCCGTACAGTGAATGCTGAAGTCAGAATGTTCCCGTACTAAAGCTCTCCAAAGCCTTAGGGTGATGGGGGTGGGGAGCTTCCGGAGGGCTTAGGTAATCAGCAGACCACCACGAATGAGGGCAGTGCCCTTATAAAAGAGGCGCAGAGAAGGCTCACCCACTCCACACCGCACCCCAGAACGTGGCTGTGGTGAGGAAGCAGCCTTGGTCTCCTCCACCGCGTCTGCCCGTACCTTGATTGCGGACCACGGAGTCTCCAGACTGTGAGGAGTGAACCTCTGTGTATGAACCACTGGGGTTGGTGTGCTTCACTATAGAAACCAAACGAAGACTGCAGCTGATGCAGGATTTTAGAGGGACTGAATTTGTTTCCAAAATATCCATGTCCTGATCACCAAACCTATGACTGTCACTTTATCTGTCATTCTGCAGAAGAGATTGCTTCAGCATTGTTTTTGACTGGCTCAGGATGCCTTAAGGGCAGGTCTGGTAAGGCAGGAGGATCTCGGGATCGAACCACAGCATCCTGAGCCTGACTGCGTTTGCATAAGCAGGCACTTAAACAACTGAGCTAATGGGCAGGCCCCTGCTTTGGGATCTTGAGAGGAGGTGATTATCCGGGTGATGGGTCCTAAATGCCATCATGAGTCTAAAATAAAAGGCAAAAAGTCAAAGGGGATGGATATGACAACATTCCAGAGGCCAGAGTGTCACCTCTGCTTTGAAGTCAGGAGAAGCAGCCACCGGCTGAGGAATACAGGCCCGTATAGGAAAACGCAGGGAGAAGAGTCTCCCTGGAGGCTGCCAGAAGGGCAGCTAAGTGCGTGCTAACTAGGCAGGGCAGCCACAGTAAAGCACCGCAAGAACGGGAGAGATCAAGGCTCCAGACTCAGTGCTTGGATGTGTCTGGAACCAGAGGAGAGGGATTTCCTTCTGTCTTTGCAGCCCCAAGCCAGCTGTACGCTTCGGTGGTCTGTGGCTGGCACCTTTGCTGTAGTGGGAGCGAAGTCACTGTAGTGGACAGAGGGCACATGCGCGTGTGCAGCAGGCGAGGGACTGGGGCTCAGGGTCATCCTTCGGGCCCTAGTTCCTTGGACTCCTCCTATGATTCTTGGCAGTTCCTGGCCCCTTCTCTCCCAGGTCCAAGAGCCAATAAAGCAAGTCCGCTCGCTGCCTGCTGTGAGTTAGGCTTAACCGCACATTTGCAGGAGCTCTTCTGACCACCAGAGATGGAGGCTGCCAGCAATTCTCCGTCCCTTCCTGTCATTCTCTGTTGCTTCAGTGTCATCAGCTTGGGCTACTAGCCACTTTCGAGGCAGTGGCCTGTGATGTTCCCAACTCTTTATACCAGCTCACCTTGCTCTACTGGAGATAAGATGATGGGCAAGAGCATGCAGTCCAGAAAGAGGCTTTACTAGAGCCTCGCTGCAGCCACAAGGGGAAGAGCACACAGACGGAATCAATAAATGAAGCCGGCTCACTTCTATGTGGAATCAGACTTTCTGTTTGGTCATGGATAGGGGTCGAACCCCTCTTGGACCTGACCGAGGAGGGCTGCAGAGGGGCAGTCGTCATATGGGATATGTCATCTGAAGCCTGCCGCAGCCAAAGAAAGCACCTCCCAGGATGGCTCTGGGCACCTCATGGTGCCTGAAAGGCTGCAAAGCATTATGGGGCAGCCACAGAAAGAAAATGGAAATAAGGTAGGGGGCCTCAGGCCTGCACTGTCATTGCACTGGGGTCTCAGCACCCTTGATCTGGTTAATTTTGTCCTCCTGGAAGGTGTCTGATGACCACCACTCTGTGGCTCTGGGTCCCCATCCCCCATTCACTCCTGGAGGGGAGATGGAAGAGAAAAGAAGAGGGAGCCACAGCAGACCAGAGCTCAGTCACTGTCCTGCCTCAACTCTGCTTGGGGAGAAGTGGTCAGGCTGGTGTCCCACACTCAAGGGGCTGGCTCCTCAGCAATTGGGAGGAGGTGGGGGATATTGGGGTGCTCCTCACACTGCCCAACCCAAGCCTCAGCAGAAGCATTAGTGGGGAAGGATGGTAAGATCACAGGGCCCTGATGCCTCTTGTGTCCTGTCGCCTTTCAGCAAACTGCACCTCCCTGTCTGCCTCTTCCAAGTCATCAAAGTGCAGCTCGGTGGAAGAGCAGTTCTGCTGGGCCTCCTTGAGCTGGTCCAAGCTAGAGTTGGGAGAACAGCAGAAGCATGCACTGTGGCCTGCAGTGACCTAGGGACCCTGAAGTGACCTAGATTGGTGCTCCAGGGTAGCCTGATGTATGGGGTCAGCTGTCCTCAGATCCTGATATCCAGGCACCCCTCAGGGGCTCTGCTAAGGGTATTCAGGAGCAAAGGACCACTCAGCTGGTGGCTAGCCTCCTCCTGGTTTGGCTCAGGCCAGAAGGGTAACTTTCGTGCCCAGGAACAGGTGCAGAACCGGGTACCGGCACCCCAGGGCAGGCTGTAGACCTCCGAGGCCTGCAGTGTCACTCCAGAATCCTCATGGATCTTAGTCCAGGCCAGCAGGCCTCGCTCCTCCTGGCTTCCTGGTGGAAGACAGCAGAAGTCAAGACTTAGCATACCTGCCCCTGAGTCCACACAGGCTTGCTCCACACCCTCTTCCTCCACATCAGCCCCTCCTCAGGGCTCCTCCAGGCTCCTCCTCTCCATGTTCCTGGGTTCCCCCACACCACCCATGTGGCCAGGCAGGAAGCACAGAGCTGGCCTCAAATGCATCCTAATGGTTGCAGGCATAGAGGCGCTCTGCATTTGGTGGCAAGCAGCAGCGTGGCAAATGAAACACTGTGAGGCAGGTGTGGCCACAGGGATCCTCAGGAGCGGCTGGGGGCAGGCAGAAGAGAGAACTGGCCAAGCCTTCCAGAAGCTGCTCCCAACTGACCCTCTGCACCTTCACAACCCACCCTGTGTCCCAAGTTTGCCAATGATGGGACCTGCTACCCAGCTCTTAGTACCCAGCTCCTCCTACTGAGCAACACTGTGTGTGTCTGTTCCTTGTCATTTTCTCCCATTAGCCTGTAGATTTCTGGAAGAAAAGGATTTGCCCTTTTTCTTCCTGTTCTCAGAATGCAGTATCTGGTATGTGGAAAATGTTCAACAGATTTTCATTGAATGAATGAATGAATGAATGAATGAATGAATGAATGAGGATAAGAGTGGGCTCCCTCATCAGTAAGAGTGGGCTCCCTCCTCTCTCACAGCAGAGCCAGGCTGTGTCCTTTTCCTGTTGCTGCTGCTGTAGCTCCTGTTTTAGCACTCTGTTACGGACTGAATTTTATCCCCTTAAGATTCATATACTGAAACCCTACTTCCCAGCATCTGAGAATGTGACTATGTTTGGAGACAGGAGCTTTAAAAAGGCAATAAAAAGTTGCAATGAGCCCTTTAGGGTAGAGCTAGTCTGATAGGAATAACATCTTTATAAGATGTGATTTGGACCCAGGAGGACACTGGGAGCAGCATGCTCAGAGGAAAGATCACGTGAGGACACAGAGAACATACTTTTTGGGGGGTTTACTGGGAATTGAACTCAGGACCTTGCACTTGCCAGGCAGGCACTTGTGCCACTGGGCTACAACCCCAGCAGTTAGAAGGTGGAGTCTCCATGTCCAGGCGAGGCCTTGGGAGAAGCCAAGCTGCTCACGCCTGAATCTCCAGGAGTTGCTTCCTGTCATCTAAGCCCCCAGTCTGTGATGCCTTGTCACAGCAGCCTGAGCAGACCTCCCTCTCCCCACCTCCAGGTTTAGGGCCCACATGGGGTGTGCTGTGACCAACCCAACACTGGTGGGTAAAATGCTGCCTGCACCGGCTCACGGGTGGGCTCTACCTGGGATGGTGTTGTCCAGGAGAAAGCCCAGGAATCCTCCGACAAACATGCCTGTGGTCAGCAACACCTGGAGGATCTGGTCCAGCTGGGGGATCCCTGGAGTGAGACAACAGTGACAGTTCCCAAGTGGAGCCAACAACCCTGCTGCTCACACCCACAGTGGGGACAGAAGGACAGAGAGCAATCACCTGTCTGCAGCCTCTCGGGATTCCTGTTCACCCAGCTGGGAATGGCAAGCCCAAAGGAGATGGAGAAGCCAAAGATGAAGAGGTTCCGGGAAGAGTTCATGCTCACATACTGCAGGAGAGAGGCCGGGAGCTTGCACAGGCGTCCCTGCACCTCTATTGCACAGGGGTGTGATGGCTGATGCTTTGCACCTCTACTGCACAGGGGTGTGATGGCTGATTCGGGGCTGAGGTGCTGTGCTTTTGGCCATTTATTTTTCCCATTTGGGGGCCAGTGCACCCCCAAGAAGGATTCCCTCCTTCTCCACCTCCTCCTTGGGCCCCACCATCCTGCTCTCTCACCCCTGTGAGCTCTTCTCAAGATGGGCAGGGCTGCTGCCTTCCTGAGGGTGCCCTGCCCCCCCTCACCTGCAGATTGGAGATCCCCACGGCACTGATGACCCCAAACATGACGAGGAACATGCCTCCGATCACAGGGGTTGGGATGGTGGCGAATGCAGCCCCGATCTTTCCAAATACACCCATCACGAGCAGCACGCAGCCTGCAGCGACAATCACGTTCCGGCTCCCCACCTGCAGCACCCAGCGTGTGGAGACAGGGAGATGTATTTGTGGGAAGGATGCCACATGACCCCTAAATCTTGCTCAACCCAGCTGGATTGGGGAAAAGCTGAGAGTGTGGTAGTGGGGCTCAGTCTTAGCCCTCTCCTCCCCTGAGAAACCTGCACGGTGGGGTAGCACCAGGCTTCATGTATCACAGAAGGCCATGGTGGAAGACAAACAGAGAGTGGCTCACCCAGACTTCTCATTCGAAAGATCAGAAAGCCTAGGCCCACAGATGTAAGTGAGGAACGCAAGGCCACACAGAGCCATGCCCAGTAACGCCCAGGTCCTCTGGGTCTAGCTTAGCCCTCAGTCTCCTAGGTTTTATCAACAGTGCTGTGAGTTCCTAGCTACATTTTTCATGTTACTCATAAATGGAGTTTATAATCTTAAGGAGAAGGACAGACACCAAGCAGATCTAGTAAACAAAGTAGCTCATTTCCAGCAGCAATTCAGGGTGGGCTCCTAAGACAGCCAGCATAGGTGATGGGGTCCAGGTGGTAGAGCAGAGGCTCTGTGGAAGGTGGTCAGCAGTGGTCCATCTAGGGCAGCATTCAGCTGGACCCAAGAGAAGAAGAAGATTTGATGGAAGAAAGTTCTGGAAAAAAAATAATAACAAGTGCTGACTGAATAGGGAGCAAAGGAAAACCTGTATGCTGAGAGGCAGAGACCTGAGGAGAAGGTGGGAGATGGATATTCAGAGCAAGGCCCGGGCTCCATCCTGCAGGGTACTAGGGCCCTGGGAAGGAGCCAGAATAAAATCACAGGAGAATGCATGAACAGAGTGTGGTCTGTGTGTGCAGGAGTCTTAAAAAGGAAAGTCTATGCCAGCTACAACCTGGATGAGCCCCAAGGACATTGTGCTAAGCAATATAAGGAAGCCATGAAGAAAGACCTCCAGTGAGGTTCTAGTGAGACCAGGTAGGTACCCAGCAAGGGAGTTCAAGTTCATAGAGGCAGAGACAGGTTACAGCGGCCGGGAATGGAGGTAGGAAGGACTGGGTAGGTGTTGTTTAGCGGGCCAGAGGTTTGGTTCTGCAGGATGAGAGGAGTTCCGGGGACAGGTCACCCTGTCACCCGATGGCTGACAAGAATATGAAGGAACTCAGCACTAGCAGATGTACATTTACAGATAAGAGAGGCAGTAAACTGAACGATGTGTATATTTTCCAAATAAAAGCATAGGAAGTGAAAAAAAAAAAAAAAACCTAAGACAAGAGAAATCCTCAAGGGACAGTTTTTAAGTAAGGCGGTGACATGATATAATATACATTTTTAAAATATCCTTCCATAAAGCCATTTCATTATTATTAACCAATACATTTTCTCCATTAGGACAATGACAGATTTTTCTCAACAAGTGATCATTAACTACGACTTTTCCTACCGGGAAGGTGCGCTTAGCATACGCACCAGGGACAGCACCCTTCCCCTGCTGTTCTGGAGCCCAGCTGAAAAGTTTTCCAGCATCTTAAAAGTTCATTTCCACGAGTGAGGGTCTCTCAGGCTCAGCTCTCACAGTTGACTTTCACAGCCTTTGACCCAGAAGGAATCACTCCTAGCCGCCACACCTGGTGTGCGTGGGGCTTGCTGAGTAGCTGGGAGTTCTGGGATGCCGAAGAAATGTGTTTCGGCCACTTGCTTACAGTGGCTCTTAGGTTGTGAAGCACAATGAAGTTTCTACAAAGATGTAAAGAAAAAGAAACACCCCACCTTGGCTTGAGCTCAGGCGTCAGGGCTGGGGGGGCTTGGTGCACACAGCGGCCGGAGCGCTATCGCTGCTGCCTGTAGCGCTGTTCAAGCTTGCAGCGTGGGGTCTGGGTGACAGATTTTACCAGCAGGGCGAAAACAGCCTCTGGTTTTCCAGTGTGATGAAACTGCTTGGGTGATATGGTGATGGTGGACATGTATGAGACACTGTCCAGCCCCACAGTGTGCACATCTCAGAGGGGATCCCCAGCCTGCGCCCTGCCCTGTGGGCCTGGGAATTCTACCAAGTGTCACTGTGAGGGCTGCAAGTGGAGGGCAGGGACGGTGACCAAGTCTGGGAGGCAGAAACGGGCCCCGCACCTCTCACTCAATTTTGCCATACACCAAAACCTGCTCTAAAAAGATAGAACATATAATATTCTGCTTTGCTTGAAATTTGTTTCTGTTGGGCTGGGGAGACAAGCCAGCAGTCTAAGTACCTGCCGGCAAGTGCAAGGACACAGGTTCGACGCCCGGTACCGCATGCTGTGCTGGCCCCAGAACCCTGGGCACGCTGTGGCAGCCACTGAGAACAGGCATGGTGGCACACACTTGTAATCCCAGCACTGAGGAGGCTGAGACAAAAGGATCACTGTGAGCTGGGGCTGCATAGCAAGACTCTGTACCAAAGAAATAAATGAGTTCTGTTTTGTTTTTGTTGTGCTTTGTTTTGTGGGGGGACTGGGGATTGAACTGAGACCCTTGCGCTTGCTAGGGAAGCACTTATTCCACTGAGCCATCTCCCCAGCCCCAAGGTTTTTTTTAAAAAGAAAGAAATTCATTCCTGTAAACAGAGCCGGAAATCACTGCTTTATACTTAGGGAGCTGCCTGCTATGGGGGCAGGCTGTGACCTTCCTGTGGAAAGGAGGTTTCCGTCACCTGCAGCCCTCAGGGCCCTGGAGACCTTGGACAAGAGTGAGACGGGACATGGTGGAGGTGGGGCTCACCCAGCCAGTGGCTCAGGGATTTTAGCTGCGGCAGTGCTGAGGCCACGCAGACCTGAGCTGGAAGGTGCGGCACCACCAGCTGCACAGCACAGCCACTGAGGGAGCCCTGCCAGTTGGGCAGGGGCAGGGCATTTGCTCTCCTCTAGCTCCCAGGACTTGTGCTGGGAACCGCTGCAGAGACATCTGAAGCTCACGGAAGGAACATAATAATCTTGTTCTTTCCTAAGTCACTTTAGAAAGCTCCATCCCACAGAATTCCTGCTAATCTGCTAGAGATTTACTGTGGAAAATGTGGTGCCATATAGCGGGTGTAAGCAGAGGCCAATCTGGTCAGAATTAGGCTCTAGGAGGATCCTTGGGCAGATTCGGGATAGGCCAGGTCCCGGCAAGGGCGGATGTGGGGCACTGATGCAGAATCCAGGAGGGAGAGGGGGGCTGTGGTGCTGGTGAGGGAGGAAGGAGTTCAGGAAAAGGCCGATGTCGAGAAGATGGGAACGGCCGGGTGTTGCAAGCAGTCCAAAGCTTAGTTAGGGTGCCTGGGGCGAACTCGCTATGACAGGGCTGCAGGAGAAGCTGGGATGGGCACCACCTGGACCCACAGGGCCACTGAGAGCAAGGTGTCTAGGAGACATCAACTGGCAGTGGCCAGGGTGCAGCTGAAGGTAGTGGACCTCCCGCCTGAACCTCAGAAAGGAGGGGCTCCCTCCTCAGTGTTCAGAAAGCTGCCACCTACGAGTGCAGCACAGACCTTGTGGGGCAGCAGCGTGACAGCCGGGCACGGCCAAGAGTGGAAGGCAAAGTCACCCGTATCCTTGCTACCAAACTGTAGCTTTGCATGGCAATAGGGCTGTAGGATGTGAGTGGGTAAAGGACCAGGTGGGTCCTTGCAGGCAACAGCCCTTTCTAGTGGGGGCAGGGGAAGAGACAGCAGGGGCCATAGCCCAGGGACCACGCACAGCCTCCGAGGAGGCTGAGGTGGGCAAGTGCCCCCCACACACACACACACAGGGCCTCTATGCACAAAGGAGCACAGCCTGGGGACTCCACCTCTATGCCCCAGAATGACCCATGTCTAATTCTGACCTCTCATCAGTAAAGTAAGAAGGTGGCTGTGCTGTGCACCAAGAACCTAACACACAGCGTGGCGGATCCAGGTTCCAGCAGCCTTACCCTGGTGATACCCAGCGCCCCGATGTTCTCGCTGTAAGAAGTGGTGCCGTTCCCTGACCCCCAGGCCCCTGCGAGCAGGCAGCCGAGGCCCTCGATGCTGATGCCACGGTTGATGGCATGCTTCGGAGGGGGTGGGGCCCCCGACAGCCGGGCACAGGCGTAGTAGTCACCCACAGACTCCACCATGGAGGAGATGACACCGGCGATGATCCCGAAGACCCCAGCCAGGCTGACGGTCGGGAGGCCCCACTGTCCTGAAAATGCAGGGCAGGGCCACATCCACTCAGGAGGGCTGCTGGAGCCCATGTCCCCTCCACTGCCAGAGGGGCCCGGGGAAGGCTGGCTCCCGTTGTGAGGTCTGCTGGACCCAGGAGAAGACCCAAAGGCCTGATTAGGGGTCAGGGCTCTGGCTGTCTCTTCCCACCCCACTCCCAGCCTGTGGAGTTCTGAACAACATCGAAGGGGTGGAACCCAGCTCCCAGGTGGGTCTGGGATGCCAGCCCTTGGCCCACCGCCCTGTGGGGCTTGCAGAGTGACCTGGGGCTTCCTGCATCTCTGAAGAGTCAGAGACGGTCCTCCTGGGCCTGATCCTCCTTGCCAACCCCTCCCTTCCACTCCAGCGCCTCCCTGAGCCCCGTGGGCTATGTCAGCCAACATGGCCACCTTGTGCCCCTACCTGGGTAAGGGAAGCGAAACCAGGGGGCCTGGCTCAGGACGCTGCCTCTGGAGTCCGTGCGGGCCAGGTACTCAGGAGCGGTGGGGGCCGAGGGGAGGACGTTGGTGATGGTGAGCACAAAACAGAGGAGCCAGGACAGGCAGAGGGCCAGCAGCACCTGTGGAGGAGTCACCCTTCAGCAGCCACCCTGCCCCTCCACCCTGAGGAGGGGTTGGGAAGGTTCCCTCCTGGGGATGTGATGCGAGGTTCCTAGTCCTGCTAGTGACCAGAGGCAGCTGCAGGATCCATGGATAAATTAGTGTGTTAAAGAAATAATGTAAGGGCTGGGGAGATAGCTCAGCAGCTTAAGTGCCTGCCTGGAAAGTGCAAGGTCCTGAGTTTGATTCTCAGTACCAAAAAAAAAGAATGTAGGGGCCAGCGAAATAGCTCAGCAGACTAAAGTGCCTGCTTAGGCAAGCGCAGGGACTGCAGTTTGATCCCCAGAACCACACGGCCTGACAACCCCACCCCCAGGGTGGGCTGAGCCAGCCAGAGTCCAGGGGTGGTGGTGCACGCCCGCCATAATCCCCAGCACTCGGAGGATGAAAACAGGAGGATCACTATGAGTCTGAGCTGCTTAGTGAGACCCTGCAACAATCAAATACATTTAAAAAAAAAAAAAAAAAAAAAAGAAACAATGTACTACAGCAACCATTGTTAAATTCCTATTACTTTGTTTAGTGAAATCTTGTATCATCTCTAAGGCTGCTTCTTTTTTTCCTACCACTATTTCTTATTCTTTAAAAACAAGCAGAAAGTAACCTGTGCGGGCTTGGGCTGAAGTGTCCAGCACACTGGGCACAGCTGGGGGCCCGAAATAGAGCTATTTATTTATTCAGGTAATGGGGATTGGACCTTAATTTGGTTTTTTTTTTTCTTTTTTTTTTTTTTTTGTGGAACCAGGGATTGAACTCCAGATCTTGTGCTTGCCAGGGAAGCGCTTATTCCACTGAGCCATCTCCCCGGCCCGATTGGACCTTAATTTGGAGACAGCTTCTCCCTAGGTTGCCCAGGTGGAGCTTGAATTTGTGATCCTCCTGCCTCAGCCTCCTTGAGTCCTGAGATTAAGAACAGTGCCATCATGCCCAGCTAAAAGAATTTCGTAAAAGGAGGCCCTCAGATATATAGGTTTGAAGTCTCTGGTGGCAGGAGCCCAGAACTGTATGTTTGACAAAGTTTGCTGTGCACGCTGACTTTTAGCATCCCTTGCCTGAGGAGCTATTGAAGGATCAATGAGATCATTATGTAGAAGCCTATTTTACAATGAGAAATAAAGTGTACAGTTACGTTAAAGCAAAAGACAAGGGCTGACCAAATAGCTCAGTGGATTAAAGTACCTGCAAGCAAGCTCAGGGGCTGGGGGTTTAATCCCCAGGCCTGCTGTGCTGGCTCCACCCCTGGAGAACACTGAGACAGCAATTGAGACTGGGCATGGTGGTGCATGCCTGTAATCCCAGCTTTTGGGAGGCTGTAAACAGGTGGATTACTACCAATCCGATCTGGTAGTGAGACACTGAACACCCTGTAGACCCTTCCCTAAAATCCAAAAAATAAATAAATAAATAAATAAATAAATAAATAAACAAACCAGAAACAGTTGTGTGGCTGACAACTACCCAAAATTCGATGGGAAGAATCTGTAAAAGGAGGTGGTGCCGTGGTTGACACCAGCAACTGGGTCGCCCCAGAGCCATCTCGAAAGACCCTGATTTAAGCAATGTGGCCCACCAGGCTGCTTCAGGCCCTGGTGTTTCATCAAGCAGTGGCCCTGGGCTCTAGGAGGAAGCACTTGGGGTGTCCTCAGGCTGTCCCTGCTCAGAGTGAGCCTCCGCAGCTGTGGGGCAGAGGCCTGGGGAGCCCCTGGGCGTGGAGAAGGTGTCTCGCCTGCGCTCTCCAGGGAGCCACCTTGGGGCGCAAGGGGCCAGGAGCGCCTTACAGGGAAGGGCCTACTTACAGGGAAGACCTGAAACACGTGGAACTTGGCAGTGCGACATTTCTTCCATCCTGTACACACAGGCACGGGCACCGCGACATTCTTCAGGTACTGAGAAAACAGCACGATGAGGAAGATGGTCCTGAAACAGGAAGGGACAACCATAGCCCACCTGCGGTCTCGCGCATCCTGAGCCGAGGGTGCACACGGCTTCCGGGGGCGGCCAGGGAGCGAGCCACCCTGTGTCCCCGCGAGCAGTACCCTCACTAGGAGGGTCCTGGCTGGACCCCTCAGAGCGCGGACGGACTCTGCCCCCTCTGAGCAGGGCTTGTCTCATCTCGGGAGTTGCTGTGGCCCAAAAGGAAGAGCAAGATTGGCTGCCACGGTTTCTGGAGAGTCACACAGACCCAGCTACTATCGTCAAGGGACAAGAGTCAGGAACCATCTTCCTGTCCAGGACCTTGTGCGGGCTGATGGTCCTCACACCTCCTCTGAGACCACAGAGGGACAGCGTCAACCCCTAAGTCCCTTCAAGTCTGCGTTTGCCTTGAAGCCTCTTGACCCTCCCAGCTGGCTGTCTCCATTTCCCCCACACTCTATGACACCCTGTGATCCATGGCTGTCCCCGGATTGCACCTCTGACCGACTCAGACTGTACCTAGCTTGAGACAGTCAGCTTTCACACCCTTCCCCACTCCATGGAGAGCGAGCTGGCAAGAAACCCACAAGATCAACTTTTTGTAAACAGTGTATTCTTATGTACCACTGGCGATTAATTCACAATCTCTAGTTATTAATAAGATAAAATAATGAACAGGATTAATGAACAATAAGTAGCAACTTTGGTTCTTAAAAGGTTTGACAGCATTCTGGGAGGCTGAGGCAGGAGGATCTCAAGTGTGAGACCAGCCTGGGCAATTTAGCAATTTAAGTGATAATATTTCTCAAAATTAAAAAAAAAAAATACAATTCTTACTGGGTGATATTCCACTGAAAACAAAAATGTAGATGAGCTGCCCTCCTCACGGAGTACTTACAGGGAGGCGATCCCCCAATGGATTCCGGCGTCCTGGGCTGCAGATTCAAAGAGAGGCAGGGCCACCAAGGTGATGGTCGGGGCGATGGTCAAGGGGCCAATAAAGCGCATAAGGAAGCCAATGAGGCCCGAGAGGCCCACTAGAATCTGCACACAGGAAGCCACCATGATGGAGCCCTGCAGCTGGAGGGAAAGAGCGGGCTCAGCCCAGGGCCGGGGCGGCTTTGGAACAGAAGCCGAGGCAGAGCGGAACCTCAGAGGAAGTGGGAAGAGCCGCCCGGCCCTCCTCTCTCCAGCCACTTCCGGCTGCCTGTCGGGCAGCTTCGTTTAATGTGAAGCTTTTCAGGAAAGGGCTTCGACATTCCCCGCTGTGCACGGGCGCGGCGATGCAAGGGTTTCACACGGGCGCTACCCGTGCGAGCGAGCACAGCGGAGCGCCGAGCAGCTTGCGGCTGTCCTTTTCGGTTTTCTCCCTTTGTGTTGCAGGAGTAGCAAAGTTTCTGTAAAGGACCAGGTAGCGGATGCTTTAGGCTTTGTTGAGCGTGCAGGCTGGGTTGCCACTTCTCCAAAGATGAGAACAAATACGCATAGCTGCATTCCAATAAAACTTTCTTTCTTTTTCTTTTTTCTGGCACCGTGGATTGAACTCAGGACCTTGCCCTTGCCCGGCAGGCATGTAAGCCGTTGAGCTATCTCCCCAGCCCTTAAAACTTTATACTCACTGGCATTTGGATTTCATTTAATTTTTACATGTCAGGGTACATTATTCTTTGGGATTTAAAAAAAATTACCATTTAAAATGTAAAACTATGTTTAGTTCACTTGGCTAATCAAAAACAGGCTATAAGGGGCTGGGGAGATAGCTCAGCGGTATAAGCACCTGCCTGGCAAGCACAGGGACCCGGGTTTGATCCCTGGTACCATATGCCATGCCACTGTGCCAGCCCTGAAACTGGGTGTGGAATTACAGCTATAATCCCAGTGCCAGGGAGACTGAGACAGGAGGATCACAAGTGCTGGGATTACAGGCGCACACCACCATGCCCAGTCTCAATCACTGTATCAGGGTGCCCTGGGGGATGGGGCCAGCATAGCATGCGGGGATCAAACCCTGGTCCCTGCCTCTGCCTAAGCAGGCGCTTTAATCCACTGAGCTATCTGGCTGGCCCTATTCTAAAGGTGAGGACTTTAAGGTGAGAACTTCTTTGTTTTTTGTTTTGTCTTGTTTGCAGAACTGAGGATTGAACTCAGACCCTTGCACTTGCCAGGCAAGCGCTTATTCTACTAAGCTATCTCCCCGACCCCTAGGTGAGCACTTCGTATACAAAATTTTCAGTTTAACTAAATTTTCTAGCATCTTCCAAAAGTACATAACAACTGTAGAAAACTTTAAGTCCTGTCACCGTCTTAGGTTTCCCGTATTATTTTTGCAAGATATGCATTGGCTTCCATTTCCTAAAATTCACACTGTCACTAGTATGAATTTTATTCTATTTTCTTATAATCAATACTCAGATTTACCTATTTCTGAGGACCGAACTGGGCCTTCTCCCGTGTTTCTTTGTTGATGGCTTTTGGAAATGGGGGCTTGAGCGGTAATGAGATTTAGATGAGGTCAAGACAGGGGCTCTACGACAGCATTAGCATATTTGTCTTCATAAAAGAAACCTACATGACAGAGCAAGGAAAGACTGTGTGCAGATTTAGCTAGAAACAGCAGTCTACAACCCAAGGAGAGAATCCTAATCAGAACCCCACCAACCTGGCACCCACTGTCACACTTAATCCTTCTCTGTCCTTAACACACCCAGCCTCTGGGATTTTGTTACAGCACCCTGAGCTGACTAATACATACTTATTACCAAATCTTCCTTTCTCTGTTTTTCCACCTCTCCCTGATTCCAGATTTAATTTTCTTTTGCCTGGGGGATGTCTTTGAGTAGTCACTCAGTAAAGGCCTGTGATGAATACACTCTCTTCATCCGTGTTTAATGGAAGGGTCTTTAGTTTGCCATCAGTCTTGAAGGGTATGGAACTAAAATGCCCCCATGCCTTCCGGTCTCTGAGGTTGCTGGTGAGAAAACTGCTGCTATTCTTCAGCATGCAATGTTTTCAAGTTGCATCTAACTTTTCTCTTTGTATTTCATACTGCAGCTTCATCGCGGTGTATCTAGTATTGGACTTACTTTATTTACTCCACTTGAAACTGCGATCGATCAACCTGAGTTGCATTTGCATCTCTCATCTATCCTAAAGTATCCACCATCACAGCTGTTCTACTGCTATCACTTTATTATTATTATTATTATTATTAACATTATTATTATTATTATTGTATTTGGTCCGCAGTCTACAGGGTCTCACTAGGTATACTGGACTCAAAGGGATTCTCCTGTTTTCAGCCTCTCAAGTGCTGGGATTATAGGCAGGCACCACCACGCCCAGTCTCAATCCCTGGCTCAGAGCTCCCCCGGGACAGAGCCATCATGGCATGCCGAGGATAGAACCCTGGACACTGTACCCTTACTGCTGTCACTTTTGTCCTCTTTTTTATTATCACTTTGAAATTCCTATTAGATACAACTTGGATTTCTTCTCTTTCTACACTTTTTATCCTCTATTTCATATTTTCCCATCTTTCTCCCCCTCTGTGCTGTATTATTTCTTTATTTTTTAAAATTTTTTTTTAATTTGTGTGTGTGTGTGTGTGTGTGTGTGTGTGGCCAGCTCAGCCCACCAGGAGGCGGGGCTGGCTGGCATGTGGTGCTGGGGGATTGAACCGCGGTCCCTGATGCCTTGCCAAGCTTGTTCTAAGTAGGTGCTTTAGACCACTGAGCCATCTCTCCAGCCCTGTATTATTTCTTTAGATCATCTTTTAATCCATTTATTAATTTCCTTTTGACTATGTCAAATGCTGTTTAATCATTATTGTATTTTAAAATTGCAACGATCTGATTACATATTTGCATTGCTAAAGTTCTGTTTGGTTCTATTTTTAAAATTCCCTATTCTTATGCATTTAATCTTCTTCTGTATCAGGGCTTCTATTGTCTCTTGATTCTCTTAAATCAATTTAAACACATTGATCGAATAGCCTCTTGCAAAGTACTCAACTTTAGGGGCCGGAGAGATGGCTCAGTGGAATAAGCACTTCCCTGGCAAGCGCAAGGGCCTGAGTTCAATCCCCGGTTCCAGAAAGAAAAAAAAAAATTCAACTTTCTCTTGTTTCTGCCGAGTGTCTTTCATGATATCCTACGAAATCTACATCAGTGGGGTCCTTTTCAGGGGGCACTGTTTATTCCTGTGCAAATCTTATACCCTAGAACACGGAAACGTGCCAAAGGAATGACTTCGTGGTTTTCTTTTGCTGAGATCCCCACGTATTCTATTTGACAGGACCAGCTCTCATTTCTGAGCCTGAAAAACATTTCCACCATGCCACCATGTGTAGGAGTCTGTATTTCTCATGCAAATCTATGTTCCGACACTTCCCACAGACCCCTGTGCAGAATAAAAAAACATCCTTGCTAATTTCCTTTGCTGGTGGGTAGAGTAATTATAGTCTTCCATTCCCTACAGGGAATGCCCTTTCAGGCTACAGTGAATCATGAACACCCAAGCTTCTAGCCTTTGGTTCTATACTGGGATCTGATTCATCCCCCTACTATTCTAAACTCCATGATTCTGGTTATAATTTCCATCTTTGTTTCTAGAAAGTGGTATTCGCCCCTGGCTTTACACTCAAGTATGCATTGGAAAATATAGTTCATCTATCATATATATATATATATATATATATATATATAATGTACATGGGACCTGTGTAGTTTAAATTACCATGATACTGGAAGGTGATGTTTAGATTGGTTTAATGTACTGAAAACTGAACTGTCCATCTCGTTCCAATTTTCTACTCCTTCGGAAGCCACCAATTTTCCAAAACAGAATCACCGCTCACTTTTCCCCCTCTATAGGTTCTTGAGCTCTGTAAGTCCTAGCCCTCCAACTGGCGCTGCGTTCCTATTACTCTCCTCTGGGGCAGGGATGGTGACATACAGTTGGTATGGCGACAATCGGTGGCTTCCAGCCTTGAAGCTAACCCGGTCAATACAAGTCAGTGAGTCTGAGGAATCCACCCCAACAAGTTGACTCAGTGAATGAAGCCCATCTGTGAATCAGTTATAGGCTCAGGAAATGGGAACTGGGAAGGCTTTCTTCATGTACAGCGCGGATGAAAAATACGTGACCAGCAGAGGGCGCTAAAATACCACAGATAGAACTGAGTTCCTGATTCCCTTGGGGGGGTGAAGATAAGGACAGGCAGCCTTAGACTAGGCAAGGGGAACCCTGGTCCTCAGCTCTGTGTTTTAAACCAGGAATTATCTAGCTTTTTCTATTGAAGGCCAGAGGGTAAATAGTTTAGATTTTTGTGGGCCACATATGGCTTCTGCCACATTTTTTTAAATCTTTTAACAGTATAAACATCATTTTTTGCTTATGAGCAGTAGAAAGAAACAAAACAAAAAAACAAGACCAAACTAAAGAACAGAACAGAGCACGCAGAGACTTTGGCTCAAGAATCCTACTTGGCCGCCTCTTGCTTTAAGGGTCTCCACCGTAGGTTACCAGCATGAAAATAAACAGAAAGCGTATGAAATGAAAGTCGCTGTCTCGCATACTCTTCCCCTTTGAGGAATGAAGGCTCCCGGGGACACTCATCTCCGCTCCCCTCCCGGACAGCCCCAATCCCTCCCATCCCCCTCTTCTGTTTTCTTGCTGGAGCAGGTCTCTCTCCTTCCCATGCTGCCCCACCAACCCCAGGCAGCAGACTCTAGCTCCCTGAGGGAGGATTCCTGGCTGTCCATCTGTCTCCAACCAGTATCTTAGAGCCCAGGGGCTTTCCGGGCAGGAAGTCAGATAATGAATGCTGAACAAATGAATAGACTCAGGAGCCCGTGTCCCACCCTGACCATCCTCTCACTTACTCCCCGGCCCTGTTACCTCTCGGATCCTCTTCTGCCACTCTTCTATAAATTCAGGAGAGCTGGTGTCCACCTGGGTGACATTGAGTGTCCACTCCGGGCACTTCCAGGCCGGAAGAGAGAGCATGGCCAAAGAGGGTGCCACGAAAGCAAATGTGCCTCCCTGGAGAATGGGGAGCCTGAAGGGGGAGAAAGATGTGGTTACCCCAAGATCCTTCCACAATGGTCTGTTGCTGGTCCCAAGGAGCCTTTTGAACCCAAGGCCCAGCTCCATTGGGAGGCAGCACAACACATGAACCCTGTTCTTCACCGCTATACAGAGCTCCTGGCAGCTTAGGCTATTCCAGGACCCCTGTCAACCTTTGGGCAGGAGGAAAGGCAGACAGGGGAAAAGACAACCAATCCCATCTCCGGCACTGAGCTCAGAGAATATTCTTAGGGGGATACCCTTCTTCACCCTAACAGCACATCCTCCATGTGGAGAAGTACAGCCTAAAATCAGGGTTGCCAGCTGCCTTTGCGTTCCCAGATACCAGTGTCAGCTCCAGACCTCTCTGCCTTCTTATCACATACAAAGAACAAGCTCAAGGGCCATTCTCTGGGTATGGCCCTTCCCCGGGGTCCCAGTGGGCTCCTCCCTCTGACTTCTGTAGGAACTTCCAGCAGGGCCTACCAGGCCTGCGTGTCCATGGGGGTGACCCAGTGTAAGCCAGCCTCTCACAATCCTTGCTTCCCTTGAGGGTCAGAGGCCATGAAAGTTTACTGAATCTATCTGCTCTGGCCATTGTGGAGTGATGGCGTAAGGACACCAGGATTTTGACTGCGTTTGTCTCTGTGACCCACTAACTTCATGTAATTATTTTCCTTGGCTGAGAATCAAACCGAGAGCCTGGCGCGGGTTACCACTGAGCCACACTACCTAAGCCAAGGTACTTTTTAGAAATAATACCAGATGCAACCGTTATGGAAATCAGTGTGGAGATGCCTTAGAAAACTAGGACTGGAAATCCCCTTCAAGCCTGCTATCCCCCTACTGGGAATTTTCCAGGAGGAACTGAAAGGGTCGTATTATAGTGATATATGCGTACCTATGTTTATAGCAGCACAATTTGTGATAGCCAGATCTTGGAAACAACGAAAATGCCCATCATATGTGGAATGGTTGAAAAAGATGTGGTACTTTTATATAATGGAGTACTACTCAGCTATAAAGAATGGTAAACTTGAAGCCTTCATATTTAAGTGGATGCCACTTGAAGATATATTTATTAGTGAAATAAACCAGTCCCACATCTGTAAATATTGTATTGTCTCCCTAGTATAAGGACTTACAATTCCGTATAGGGTTAAGTTTCTAAATTTCTTTGTAAAAATATGTAAATGCTTATTTCTACTTTTATAGAATTATTTTTTCTTAAAAAGAGAGATGAACCATGTATAATAATTAGAAGCATAATAAAGTACTGTACATTAAAAAAAGAAAAGAAATAATACCAGAAAGTTTGGAATCAGGGCTCTCTGAAGACAACATAAAGGATTGTTCCTGAGAATGACTGAACAGGTTTCACGTATGAAAGACAGAACGGTGCGCTGCTGCAGTCGGCTCTGCGCAGTGGCTGAACACTGCAGGAGCAAGGGATGCCTGAGCCTTCCCGCGGCCACGCTGGGCACGCATGTGCCGGGCCGGTATCACAATTCACAAATGGAGACCCACAAGGCTCCGAGATAAAACAGCACACTGCGCACAGGGCTGGAACACACAGCTAGCTGGATGTCGCTGCAATTCTGGATGCACATCGGAGTCATCCATCAGATGCCAACTGAGGACCTCCTACGTGTGGCACGTCCAGTGCCAGGCATTGACGCTACGATGGGAAGGAAAAAGTCCCATATGGGCCATGGGCTCCCTTACCTGTGTTTCCCTATTCCCAGGCTTCAGTTACCTGCGGTTACCCACAGTCTGAAATGTTAATACAAGGTATGACTGAAAAATACAGTGAGGGCCGGCCAGATAGCTCAGCAGACTAAAGCGCCTGCTTAGGCAGAGCTCAGGGGCAGGGCTTCGATCCCCCACGTGCTGCACCAGCCCGGCCCCCAAGGCACGCTGAGATAAATGAAAAACAAAAGACTCTTTGCCGTGAACCGCCCTCCACTACTCTTTCGTGTCTTTACTGGCGCTGTCATAGCTCCCTCAACTTCCTGAATTGATTCCAAATATTTCCCTTTCACAGTCATTTTGACTTTGGGGAAGAGCTGAGATGGCGATTGAGACTGGGCGTGGTGGCGCGCGCCTGTAATAACAGCGTTTGGGAGGCTGAAAACAGGAGAATCACTACAAGTCTGAACTGTCTGGTGAGACCCTGTAGGCCCTTACTACATACATAAAAAAAGAAAAATACAGTAAATGTATTGGAGGTTGCACTCAACCCGGCTTTTCCCCTCTTGCGTATTTTTCCAGAAGAACTGAAAACGTCATACCACCGTCAAACGCATAGCAACACACTTTGTCATAGGTAAATCTGGGAAACAACCCAAATGCCCATCAACTGAGGCAAAAAAAAAAAAAAAAAAAAAAAGTGGTATTTTTACACCATTGGGTATTACTCAGCTACAAAGAAAGACAAACTCGAAGCTTTTATAGGTTAATGGGTGCAACTAGAGACCGTACCCATATTTGACATAAACTACACCTGCGTGTGCAAACATCATATTGTCTCCCTAGTGCACCAACCTGAAAAAGTAAATAAAATCTGGAAGGTACAATAGATGCTGTGCGAGGAAAAAGAAGCTGTTCAAAGGGAAGGAACACTGAGATGAGGAAAAGCACAAGAGAAAGGGGGAAGGCAAAAAGATTTGTGTACAGATACAGGACAGCTTGGATACTTAATTGTGCTGCTGATTGCGACGAGCAGTTAATGCTTAGGTTATTTTTTCTTCTCCTTTTTAATTTCTTAGAGCTGTTAAAACCAATTTGGAAAAAAACAAAACAAAACAAAACAAAACAAAAACCAAAAAACCCCCACCAATTTGGCATTCTTATATCTGGTACTCTAAACAACTCATTTGAAGACAACATTATTCGATATAACAGCCATTGTTGAATTCCTATTATTTTGTTCAGTGAAATTCTGTATTGTTTCTAATTTTTAAACTATTTTTTATTCTCTTTAAAAAATAAAAAATACAGTGATTATTTAATGTTTTTAATCTATAAAAGATCTTTTGACTAAGTGCCTGCTTTGGCAAGTGCAGGGACCAGAGATCCATCCCTGGTCCCAGGGTCCCACTTGCCCACCGGCCCCACCCCCAGGGTGTGCTGAGTTGGCAAACTAGTCCAGGCGTGATGGAGCACACCCGTAGTCCCAGCGCTGGGGAGGCTGAAAACAGGAGGATCCCTAGGAGTCCGAGCTGCGTAGTAAGACCCTGTACCAAACAGATAAATGAAAAACAAAAAAGACTTTGCCGTGAACCGCCCTCCACTACTCTTTCGTGTCTTTACTGGCGCTGTCATAGCTCCCTCAATTTCCTGAATTGATTCCAAATATTTCCCTTTGTCATTTTGACTTTGGGGAAGAGCCAGAAGGCATCAGTGCCAGGTCCAGCGGCTACGGCAGATGAAGGGTCACTGCCGTGTAGTTACACGTCTGCCTTTCCTGGAGGGCATTCCGCGGCAGCCTTCATCACATATATATGTATATTTTCTATCACATCTCATAAGGACACCAGGAAGGAGGACTTCCGCAGCTGCCTAGAAGATGTCAAGAATGATACGTGTGTGTGGAAAGCAAGGGGGGCCATTTCGAGGGGAATTAATGACAATGTATTGCTCACACGACTGAATTTTTTAATGTGGTCACCTTACATTTTGTCCCACCTCAGATTTGTTTTGCCTCAAGAGAGACCATGTTGACATAACTTTTATTGCAGTATATTGTAATTGTTCTACTATATTACTAGCTGCTAGCCTTGTCCTGTGTTTACTTTATAAATTAAACTATGTACATGGTTTCATATTATCTGCAGTTTCAGGCATCTCCTGAGTTCTTTTTTTTTTTTTGTATTTTAGGGAAGGGTCTACAGGGTGTTCAGGGTCTCACTACTAGATCGGACTCATGGTGATCCGCCCAAGAGCTGGGATTCCAGGTGTGCGCCACCAGGCCCAGTCTCAATTGCCGTCTCAGCACGCCCTGGGGACAGGGCTGGCAGGGCAGGCCCGGAGATCGAAGCCCTGGCCCCTGCGCCTGTCTTCAGGTGCTTAAATCCACTAAGCTAGTTGGCCGGCCCCTCTCCTGAGTTCTTGAAACACAACTCCCAGGAATAAGGAGGGACCTCATGGTGCTCCAGGTGCCATCTCTCAGGAGCGGCACCGCCCTTGTGCTCACAAGTGAACCCTCAGCGACTGCTTTAAACACTGTATGCTTGCGCTCAGGCACGGTCACGTTAGGTGCCCTTTTGTGTCCTTTGACATTTCTTTATTACCGGGCACGAGGAGGGCAGGAATTCCTTAATTCTCATTTTCATCTCTCCAGCAGAGAACCTGGCACCGCTCAAAACATGCTCATGTTTTTTCATTATCACTTTTTTTTTTCTAGTTTCATAGGTATGAAATAAAATCTTAACTTTATTTATTTATTTCTTTATTTTGCCTTTTTGAGACAGGGTTTCACTTGTAGTGCAGGCTGACCTTGAGCTCACTTTGTAGCCCAGCTGGGCCTCAAAATCACAATGATCCTCCTGCTTCAGCCTCCTGAGTGCTGGGATTACAGGCTTGTGCCACCACACCTGGCTAACAGGCTAAACCTTAACAAATGTTAGTTTGGATTTCATTAAACCACGAAAGATGTACATTCAGTCATATGATTTTATGTCATTTTTCTTAGCAATAAACTCTGTGACACAGAATTCTGACACGGTCTATTTTATATATACATATGCATTTTTAAAATTTAATTTAATTTTTTTCTTGCAGTACTGGGGACCTTGTATTTGTCAGGCAAGTGCTTATGCCACTGAGCTATCTCTCCAGTCCTGTCATTATA